GTTACAAACAGAGACGGGCCCTCGGCCAAGCCAAACAAACTACACTACAACATTTCTTTGTCATCCAGCACTTAGTAACCATTAGCATTTCCTATTGTCCAAATGATATTGAATGGCTTTGCAGAATAAAACTTGCATGTACCTTGATGTCCCTGAATGAACCTGATCAGGTGTGCATTGTGCAATGCAAATGAGATCACCGTGGCAACCGTGTGTACTTAATGTCGGAGCATAGAAGCGATTGACTGCTTGATTTGTCAAGAGATCCTTAGCCCACCTGGTCGTGACAGAGTCTGTGAAATGCCTCTTTGAAGTGGGGCAGAATAGACTCAAATAATTGAAAACATACTTTCATCTTTTCAGACTGACTAACAAGGTATCCTTAGACTTTATCTGAAATTGTACCATAAGAGGAGATCTGTAGGAGCAACATGATCACAGATTGTCAACACAAAGTTAACTAGACTGAATTTCGTGCTTCGAGCAGCAGAGAAAGTCTCATTGAGCAACAATTTCTATTAGTCTTGGTGGATGGATCTTTAAACAACCGAGGGCAACACAGTGTCTCCTAGACTGTGCAGTTTCACATTATCCTCCATATCTGATGTGATCTTTTGTTATTCTGTGGTTTGGGATTTTCTTAGCTTATCTCTGATGTGCCAAAATGTTGATGCTTATCATATTTCTGGCTTTTGGATGGAGATTTTTGATAAGCATCAGTGCTGACATGAGGATTATGTTGTATTATATAAGGGAAAGGAAGTTTTTAATTTCATGCCCATGTGGGTGGCCCTTCTTCATATTCAGTTTTATGGTGTCAATTGTCAGCTCCAATATTTCTGCACTCCATAGATGAGCCATACTGACCATGACTAGATCATGTTTATATACTACCATGTTCAACATTTCCAAAAGTGCCTGTATGCATTCACAATCAGCAACACATACAGTTCTTACATGATCAGTTATGTCATTACAGCTTTTGCTAGAACTCCTCCTGGTGCTCACATTTCTATCCTAACAACCACAACTATGATAATATTTCCTTGAGGGTAAGCTGATCCTGAGAATGTTGCCTCTGTGATGTCCGCAGTCTGTGAAGGGTGCAGTGCGAGTTTCCCTTCAGGGTGCAGCACTCTCACATAGCCAAGCACAACAAGGGATTGATCTGCTGGAGGAAGTGAGAGCATGTCACCATCAGAGCATGAGAAGGGAGCAGGACAGGAACCCCAGCACGGCCTTCCTCTGACAACCGGCCCACATGGAAACAATGCATTTGGCAGGCTTTCAGCGGTTGTGGTCTTTCAACGATTCTAGATACATTGGGTACCCAGGTGGTCTTTGCTCAATTTCAAGTTATTAGGCTTTGTGTGATTGCCACTGAAAAAGTGAGGAAAATGTGTCAGGAAGAGATAATGTGTTCATTTGTCTCGATCATCACAAGAACTCAGTGAACTGACCAACTAAGGAACTCCTCAGCATTGTGACAACACAACTGAAAATTCAACAAAAGTGCTGGTTTTGGGTGTTGTTTAGTTTAATAGTCTGGCTGAAGAATGTTACGAGATACAATCTGGAAGCTTACTGTGACACGGGATATCAAATATTGATCAAATGTGACTTAGCAACATGCTTTATGATGTTAAACAAATTCTTGCTCCACTGTGATTTTGTCATGAATTGTATAAAGTAAGAGATATTATTGATCCCACAGTGGGGAAAGTTTGCAGCATTACAGCAGCAAATAGGACAGTGCAAACTTAAAGGAAACATCAGCAGAAAAACAACAAGAAGTCCTGTTTATACTGTACAGATTCTTCCATTTGTGGAAATTCAGATATTTCACATGTCTATTTATTGATAGACAATGTTATTCTGCAGCTTCTTCAATGAGTAGAAATGCTAATATAGGAACACTGATATTTATAATATCATTGTTTTTGTATGGTATTATAATACTGAAATGTTGCACAGATTTATCTATATTGCATATAATCTTCTGTAAATAGAAAATACTGATATTGTACAGATTATTGTGTATATATAGAGGAGGTAATATTTTTATTTCTCATAATATATTATTTTATTTGAGAATCTGAAATCTTTTCTGTGATAATATTTTTAATGAGAGCAACTTGAAGTTTCATCTCAGTAGAAGAACTTGAGTCTACATTTTCTTTTTATTTAATCGCTATTTCAATACAGTGAGCTCTTGGAACTTTCAGTAATTGTTTTAATATGCAAGGGAGCTACTCAGACAAGGTGGGAGTCAACAGCTGACTAAGAAATTGATTTGAGAGGCTCAAAGGTGTCTGGCAGTTTGATTAAGACCTCTGTGTTGATGTGTTGACAGTTTTGCTCCACGGCCTTGAGACATTAGGTCTTTTTCAGATATTCACTGATGCATTTAAGTAGTCTGTTCTCATGTCATGGTTTGATATAAAAAGATAAATAGAAAAACAGTGCTACCAGATTGAATTTTTATATGTCATACCATTTGTCCAATGTTATGCAACTGTTATTCTAATCCTGGAGTCAGTGTGATTGTTTTGTAAGCAGATTAACCACAAAGCCTGTGGTTTGACAGTGTATATGCTAATTCAAGAAAATGTCACTCAAAGCTGCTCAGGCTTAAGGGTCACACTCGGTGTTAATCTTGACTCTTTTTTTTTTTTTTTAAATCATTCCTTGTGTTGTACAGTATTGTGAAATGTACAGTCACCAAGCCAGGACATCGGTCTATTGTGAAACTACTGTACTGTCATTTCTGTATATTACATTCACCTGCTGTGATTGACTGCTCTGCTCTGAGTCACAGCACATTTTGCACATGTATTTTCATGTATATGTTTGACTTAAGCATATTCAGGCTATGTTGAGAGGGATGCAGCACAAATAACATGACACAGGACTGTACTGGACCAGTTACATTAGTAATTTACTAAACAAGTTGTTAAACTTTTCTGCTTTTCTGTGTTTTTGCGTCAATGTAAACTGAATATAATGTCCAAAATGTAATTTGAAGACATAACCTTTGCCTCTGGAAACTCGTGATAAGAATGTATCACCATTTTGTGACATTTTATAAACCAAGTGATTTCACTTAATGTAAAAAAAAAAATCATCATATTTATTGGTTAAAACTATAATTAGTTTCAGTACCATGCGGTGTAGGACGCTTTTGATGGGATGAGATGCAAAGCAAGGCTTGCTTCTTAGAAACATGGTTTCCAGCTGAATTTATATTGTACTTGTAGCATTTTTTTCTTTATCTCTCAGCCACCACTTAATAAGTGAGAGCGATAAAACCCCAGTTTGGGGAAAGTAGTAGTTCTCTGCCCATGTGCCACAAATGTAACTCGGAGACAAATTATTCTCGCTGTGAATTGGATGACCTCGGTTTCTAGACTCTCACCCTTCAACACTTTGGTTCATTACATCCAGCTGTCATCCTCTTTATGAAATTTTCTGCTTTCTAGAGCTCTTATTAGCCTCCAGTGTGACCCAAGACAGATGTGATCACTCACGTCTGCCATGGCTGTGCTTGTCTGTTCGGATGAAAATAAATTCTCAAAGAAAAAAGATGAGAGAGAAAATGACGGCCTGCTTTTATCTGTCTTCCTCCGTCTCTGTCCCACCCTGGAAGTATCAGCTGCAGCTGTCTAAATGGATACACACAACATATCCAAACACCCCTCATCTCATGGGAGTTTGCTTACTGAATGTATCACCTGATGTAACATTCAGCCCTACCTATATTTTCAAACTCATTTCCAGAGAAGGGTGTGGTGGATGTTTGACAAAGCAAACCTGAACAACAGAGAAAATGGAACATGACAGTTAGCAGGATAGTGATGTTTTTGGAGAGATGAGGAGTCAAAAGGAACTGCAGAGAACACTTTCCTCTCTCTGAGATGACACAATGGTAAATGTGGGAGAGCGGAAGCACAAGTTTGCTGTCGGGGTTAAAAAAGCAACACAGGAGCATGTTGTCCCTGAGAAAGACAAAGGGTTTCAGAATACAGCCACACAAGCACACATCCAGGCATATGTTGGAGCTGGTGTAATCTCTGTTTGGGAAGAGTCAAACACAGAAATGCCCTGCAATATAAGCATTTGTACTGTAATGCTGAGAGGAGTGGGGTGAATCTCAGGACAAAATGATGCCACTTTTGGACAAGAGTTGAATAGTCAGTGAAGTTTTTAAAACAAAAAAAGGAGAACACAACAGATGGGCAGTTTGTTCTGCATTGCGAAAGTGTATTGTTGTATAATGAAGCATGATGGTTAAACCACCAGCCGATAAAAGTCCACAATAGCTAATTCTTTTAATGGAAACGCTCTACATCATACATGCACCACTGAGTGATCACATTGTCATTATGTCAATTTTTCTTTGGTGAGTGGTTTAAAGAAAATATCATTAAGCTTAAATGTAGTGCAATTTATTACCTGTTTGGATTCAGTCAGCTCTGAAGTGAAAGAAATACATCACTGTGATGCAGAGACAGGAGTTGTATGCAGTTCTTTTGACAGGAACAATATAACTAAGTGTTCATATTTTTCAAATTGTTAGTGTGGAAAAGTCAGCAATAGAAATTAATCGCTCAGTATACTGTATGTAGGAATACATATGTAGCAATAAAACAAAAAGCCAAACTCATGTTTGCATGACTTGTCTGGTCACGATTAGTCTGTCTTCTCATAGCAAATCTTTATCACGCTCTCTGTGGGTGTTGGCTCCAAAATGTTAATGGATTTGCTCCATGGTTAATGGATTCCTTTGTTTCCGCTCTCCCACAGAAAGAAACTTCTGACTTTTGCTTCACTGATATTCCTCATGTGGTGACCTGGAACAGTCCAGTTGTCCTAATCCAAACTTCTCACTGCCTCACATTCATAGGCGCTACAAACAAAGCTCATATTTAGAACTTGATGCTGGTGTCGATTATTGCTGCAGCTTGCTCATCTGATGTGTTTTATTGTTTTGGTTTCCACAGTGACAAATAAGAAACCGTCCCATGTGTCCATCACTAAGGTCAAGCAGTTCCAAGGATCTTCTGCCTTCGTAAAGAGGTCTGGGTGGACAATCGACCAGCTACGGCAGGTCAACGGCATTGACCCCAACAAAGTACGTAATTGTTTTTAACCACTGCTATTAATAGAACTAAGCAACTGCAGGGTTACCACGAGTATTGCTGATAGTAAGATCATTTTGGTATTTCCCTGTTTCACGATTGTTTTCCCTGACTGTTCTAATGTTTCCTCTCCTTTACTACATACTCTCACCTCTGACTCATGTTTCCCTTTGGTCGTTTACTTTCCCAGGACTGTCCAGAGTTTGACCTGATGTTTGAAAATGCTTTCGACCAGTGGGTTGCCAGTTCAGCGGGAGAGAAGTGCACCTTTATTCAGATTCTTCACCACACTTGCCAGCGTTACAGCTCAGCGCGGAAACCCGAGTTCGTCAACTGTCAGTCCAAACTGCTAGGCGGTAAGACATAGAAATTAAAACAAAAACGACAAAAAAAACACTTCTAACTGTCTTTTGTTAGTATGTCTATTCAGAACCAAGTGGCTCTACAGTGCCAGACTCACTGCTCTCAAACTGTGCTGTAAGCCAGTCTGAATCTAATTATGTGTGATGACAACCAGCACCTGGTGTGTATGAAAATGTATGCGTATTCCTTGTACACAGCATCTGTTGTGTGCTGTGCTGAAGTGAGGTCAAAGAGGGTGTCCAACAAAATACATCAGCTGTGATTCAAGGCATCTGACACGGATCAACTGGTTTTACAGCACATTGAAACACTCAGTGCATCGCTAAATAATCATTTTCACTAATTTGTGATGTTGACACATTTGATTGCGTGCCTAATGCGTGAGACTCATTATTTTCATCAAAATAACATTAAACATCACACAGTCAGCAATGTAACAGCCACTTTTATTAAAAAGAAAAAAACAGTCAACTGAAAGCTAATCTCTCCCTTTACAAATATAATTCATTTCATGCACAACTAATATGGATATACCAAACAAGCCATCGCTTAATAAACTGTCATTCCAGCCATGTACAATGTGAATGTACAGTGACTGAATTGGTCATTTCTTGGCTGAAAATGTTTTTTGTTTACTGTAGGAGGGTTGTGGTGAAGGTGAGAAGGCAGCATCCTGGGTGGCTTAATCAGATATTGATCTGTTTACCCCCAAGCCTCATCTTTGAGTAACATTCAACCTGCTGTTTTATTCATGGCATTATAAATGGAAACGCATCCACAACCTGCCCCCCTGCGTGGTGTCCATCTGCCCCACATACACAGGAATCAATTACCAAAAATAGATATTCCTGAATGCCAGAAAGTGTGGACTTTGCTGGATTTTAAACTTTCAGCTGTTGAGCTACCAATTAAATCTTAGTATGAGGAAAATCAAGAATTAATGACAACCCAGAGTCTCTGTGTAATTAATATTGCACCGTGTGAAAGTCTTCGCTCCTTATGCAAAAAAAAGGTCGTTTGGGGGGAATTTCTGGGTTAAATTAGATTTAGAAAGTATGAGAGATGAGATTATTAGAAATATATGTATAGAGCCATTGGAGTTACTTTTACATTTCCTTTGACTCCGGTTTCTTACTGTATGTGTGGGAGCCAGCTCTCTATTCATTGATGATAAAGCTGGCAGTTCTTTCCAACATTCTGTTGCATTGCCTCGACCTCCCTCCTACTCTAAAAACTGTGTCCACATTTAATTCTCTTCAGCTGACCTTAGTGGATACTATAGTCTCTGTGTGTGTAGGCGGGAAGGTGTTGGTGTCCCGAAGAGCACTGAAGCCGAGGCTCCTTAGAGTAGGATGGATTATAGAGTGCAAGTGTTGCATATCAACCGCACGCCTCCAGCAGATCTGAAAATTACTAGTGCAGACCTTGTAGCATTGTTTCAACCACACAAAGTGTGAGAAACTTGCAGATTGTGGCACTGCCCATCATACATATGCCTGTGTTATGAATGAATTCATCCACAAAAACTGAAATACACTTTCTTGTATCGAACAATTCATTTTGTCGAAGCAGCAATTGATACCATGCAGTAAGTCCAACTACTTGGCTAACGTCTGATAACGAACTCCTTGCTCTCGGTATGTAGAGGAAACTGTCCATGATGGATGAAAAAGTTGACAGTTCGCTATCCGCATTCTGACAAGAGGAACAGAGAGGAAGCCAGCCTGCTGCCACTTCTGTCCACTCCAGTTTAAGTCTCACACCAGTGCAAAACAAAAATCATGACGCTGCTCAGGTGTGGGACCATAACTGTGGGAGACTCTATCTGCAGAAGCGCCTGAGACGGCAAACCCCTGCAAACGTAAAACAGATAATTAATGCACATATATTTGATTTTACACAGCTTGGAATCGAGATGTGCAAATCAGTGCAATGAACATTTTATTAGTTCTGCTGAAAGACAAGTATGTGCTGCCGATCGATGTAGTGAAACCAGAACTTTATATTGCAGTGAAGTGAAAAATTTCAAGTTTGCTGTTGGTTTTCCAAACCATGTCTTGGGGATGTCTGAGAATACCAGCAGACTTGTTTCTTGAGGTCCTGATAGCAGACTTTAGAGTGTAGAATGTAAGTCTGTTAAGTAATGTTGTCAGTATTTAGTCATCTGTTGGAGTTATCCTGAGTCTCATGGAGCAATAAGTTGGAAAGAGTGGAAGATTTCACATGATGACTCAGATAATGTAATTTTTTTAAATATTTAATATCCTCGACGGCTTTATACCCCACCCTGTATATTTCTGTTCATAAACATGTAAATTCTGTTAATGTATTCTGTTTAACAAGACGTCTGCCGGAGCTGTACAGGGTGGGTGCACAGGCGTGTGTTTTTGATCCTCAATGAGGCATATAATTGGTCCAGAAATAAAAGAAGCTAATTTGCTGATTGCCTTGTTATCGGTGCCAACTTGGGCTGCTGCCGACACCCTTATACCCTGTTATAACCCAATTCCCACCTGAGCTTCTCTGTCTTATTGCCGTGATTTGAATCTCAATGAAATTAGTCGCCTGGTTTACACTGCCTTCTGCGAATTTTCCTTCTTAGACAGCGTTAGATTTACGACTTCCTTTAAAAGATTTAAACAAGGACTTGGAGTTAATGTGGGCTAGTTCTCAAAATGTTTTTAGCGACCTGTTGAAAAAGTTGTAGTTTCTTAACACGAAATAACAGTTTTATTGTGTCCATTGTGTTTTACTCAACAGATAAATAATAAAACAGTAACTTCTGTCATGGTTGCATGACTTTCATAAAGAACTCAACACTTGAGTGCCTAACGCATGATTTCATCCAAAACTGTAACCCCTCTCGACTAATTTCAAAACTATATCAAGTTTCAAACTTCTGAGCTGACCATGACTTTTGATATTTTCTCATCACAGAAGACCAAGCTGTAGATTCAGTCATTTTCCGTTGCAAGGTCTTTTTGAACAGAATGAAGAAAGAATTTGTTTCACATCATGGTCATCTACTGAGACAAGGTAAGCACTAAATTAAAAGGAAAATAAATAAATATATATCCCACTAAAAATATTCTGAGTTCCAAGTGGTATGCAGAGTTTCTTGAACTTAGTTAATCAAGTCTATCCCTACTAATAAGTGATGAGTTCCAATAGTAGTCAGGTTTGAGGAGATACATTATACTGCATATATATGTTGTAGAAACTGAATTTTTACTTGATTTAAACTTTTGTCTTTTGTCTTGTATGATGAGCAGTTTAAACATATGATTTTTTTCCCCCCTGTATTGTCGGAAAATCCACTATTTTACAAAAGCATTACAAAAACAAGTGAACTGTGAAAAGCCTTTGATTGTATTTTTTGGCTGGTGCTGTATTGTAGATACACTAAAACTCTGACCACAGTAAATGGCTCATTAAGCTGGATTAAAATTAAATCAACCCTCTCCGCCGGCCTCTGAACTGAGGGCTTTGTTTTTTTTGACTGTCAGGGCCTTGACTGACCAGCGCTGTCATTTGTGTGGCTGCTGTGTTTAACATTTACACACTGAGCTTTTTTTCTATATGCTCCCAGTGAGCCCAAGGACAAGTTTCTCCCACTTTGTTACTGTGCGGGTTGAGTACACACTGAAGGGTATTTTAAGTTTACGTCCAAAGGTTATGTGAGTGATGTTCACTGTCCCGGCCCCTCACTGTCACACTGTGTGCAGAGTCACTGACAAATGCTGCGCTGAGGTAAATCACATTTTGGCGTACAAGGACAGTACAGCCACAGACTGTTTCCTCTCTAATGGTTTCTTCAGTATTCTGTACTTCTTTGTAGCAATTTGCAAATTCACATTTAAGCTTAGTCAAGCCTATAACGATCAGAATTATGGCTTTTAATGCATTGTGTGGCGCTGACATTTATCTGCTGATTAAAGCCACTAAGAGTAGGCTGTTCATGAATACCTAATAGCTATTTTTCTGACAGCGCTGGCACAACTCTATGGTACATTTGGGACATAATGTTCCGTGTTTGTCCCCAATAGTATTGTAGTGCCTTGCGGAAGCCTTTTTCAACAGCGTGACCGTGACTAAACTAAAGGCCAACTGAGCAAGCAAGGTCAAGACTTTGTCTTCATGAAAAAAAATGGCAGGGCCAGAGTGATGTCCTTCAGTCCCTTGGTTAGCCACTCAGAGAAAAAGCAAGGCGTGATTCAGGCTACACATCCATCTTACTCTGAAATGAGTGTATCTGGTGCATAAATACATGAAGTGAAGGTAAATTAAATGGAAGCGAAGACAGAGAGACTGAGACCACAATAGAAGTCAATTACCATTTATAAGATAATTCGTCGTAAACCACAGTACTGGATCACACAGTTTAAATGGACTTTTCAGTGCAAGAAAAACTATAATACAGTGGACATATAAGGCCTATATACAGTATGCATTTCGTAGTAAGAGAGTGGTCTTGGGGCAGAAAAAAAGTACAGATGGCGAAAGGAAAGAGAGAAAGTTGTGGAAAAGGACTTTTGGGAGTGACTTTCGGAGGAACATGAATCGACAGAACTGGGAGGGAGTACAGAAAGTAATCGGATAAAAAGAAGTAGCTGGATAACAGGCAATGGAGACATAATAGGTGTGTGTCAGGAGCCAGGAGGAGGTGCCCTTCCTGTTTGAACCTCGGCTATAGTTTTATTATGCTGCTGGGTGTAATGTCAAGATTTGCATTAATTAAACTGCAGCAGGGGTTTATCTTGCAGCAGGAGCAACATAGTTGTGCCTTTAGGCTTGTGTGATGTCTATTAGCATTCCTGATGAATTCTTTTCCCTCATCTTTCACATCACTCTGGTACACGTAATCGGTTTGGAAGTGTGAAGTAGCAGTATTGTTACCTAAAGAATCAGTGCTTTTGCTGCCATTCTAGTTTTTAATCAGTGAAAAAATCCGTGCATACAAACAACATTGTGTGAACTCTATGAGTCCAGTATGGCAGTACAGTATACAGAGGGATGAAGCATGCTGTTTGTCAGAGGTTTTGATTTGTATTTGTGTTTGTTAAATCTTGGTAAACCTGAAAGCTTTTATTTATTTATTTAGTTTGTATAAACATTAATGCTTTTTATTACCTTTCATTGCCAATTTATTATAGCGCTTTTGAACTCCACTTTTTAGAATATTTGGAATCCAGAAATACATTAAAAGTTGCCCTTTTATCGAAATAACATTGAACTTCTGAATACAACCGTGTTTCAAAATGGTTGTTACAAAGTTCTAGTGGTACAGAAATGAACTTGATGATGTTTTTGTATTCCTCTCACGTGTCCCTGTTTACTTCCCTGGCTGCTTGTCCTCTACTTTATGCTAATTTCTAGAATCAGGAAAATTGGATTTTGTTAGTTCGAGTTGAAAATATTCTTAATGTTCGCCAAACTGATGCACCCATATTCACGTGTGTATTTATGAATCTAAAATGAACCATTAACTTGCATAAAAGAGACTTTTTGTAAGCACTGTTGACTCTGTTAGGGCGAACAGATCAGATAAATTACTATCTCACACTTTGTGTTTTTATCAGCTTCGAGCTGCTTGTCTTGACATGCTTTTTTATATTGACAGCAAAATGTAATCACATGTGGCCTCTCTGTGAACTGGAAGTGCACACATCTACAGTAAAATATGAGCTAAAACACTGCTGGGGTACGAAGCCCCTGGTTAATAATAACAGCAAGTCCTGTGTACTTCAGATTCAGAAGATATGTCGGTAAAACTATGAATAGGGAAATAGGGATGGGATCACTTACTGAAGGCCTTGACAGAATATTTCATGTATCTTTAAAATAATTCAGCAGGCTAATTCATAATTTACTATCTTGATAATTAAGGGGAGTTTCTGATGGCACTTGTTAGAGCGCAGATAAGACTGTGCACATTCATACATATATAAAAAAGAATCCGAGACACTCTCTCCCTTTAAACACCCACACATATTATACCCCTCAGCATTATCCTAGCACAGTGATGATATGATCACATACACAGCCAGAATGAAAATATGAAAAGCACTACACCATGGTTTGTTTTCATGGAGCTTAAGTGTAGGTGGGTTTGTTTTTTAAGGTTAGCTGTCCAATATAATCAATCCACTGTACTATGATGGTAAATGAGACTCGCTGTCAGCATCAAGTGAAGTGTATCTGACATGTTCCCTGTTGATAACCAGTAGATGATTTTCTTGGTCTCCCAGCAGTGCAGCCTGTAATCTACTGCTTACAGCAGAGTTGAGAAGGGAGGGGTGACTTGGTATGATTTTTCCTCCCCGGCTTCCTTGTTATGTTTGTCTTTGCTCATGGTTTATATTTTCTGGAATATTTTGTCGCCAGAAAACAACTTGCTTTTTATTCAGTCTCCATTGTTTGAGAGAGCCTGCCTGATTGTGCGGATATCATTGAGTAGAATAATAAAATTCCTTCTACATTGCTGAAAGGAGCAGGTCACGGATTAAGCAGATTTAACAATTAGCCAAATATCACATAAAGCTCCTCTTTAAGATTTACTCGTGCAACATCAGCGCTATACGAGATAAAACTTTAACTTTACCTTCCTGTTTGATTAAAATTCACTTTAAATTAATGCCACAGAAACCCCTAAGGAGCATAGCTGCTGTTATCCCTTCTGATAACAGTGATGGCTGATTAGCTTTCATGTTTATGTTGAAATACGAAGCTCAGAGTTTGAATCACAGCAGTGGCATCACATAACATAATCTACTCCTACATGCGTGTCATTCAGCTTGTGATGCTGCACCCCTTTCATAAACCTTCCAGAATGTCTCCACCCTGCGTTTTCTGTAATTACATCCTACACGGGGGGAGCCCACGTCACAGGCTGCCGCTGATCTCCGAGAGCAGAAAAGAAAGACGCAACAGAAGGGAAAATGGTGGGCAGACAAACAAATGGAGATGTTCTCTGAGTGCATGTTATGGAGTAGTTGTGAGTGAGTGCAGGGGTTATATTGAGGATGATGGGAGTATTACTCTCTGGGCTTTCCCTCGAGAAGGAGAGGATTAGGAGAAAGCTGTTTGAAGGTGAAAAAGGTCTTATCCTTGTGAAGTGAAGACCTAGTGCCTTTTAAGAGAAGGTATGCTTTCAGGAAAGTGTTGTAACCTGTGCAAACCAAAGCGCATCGGCAATACAGGATCATAACACACGAGCTTTGTTTTGTTAATGCCTAAAGTAAATGCAACACTCACTGTCTGACTCTGGACAAATTCTAAATGAAATAAGAATCTCAACAGGTATGGTGCTTTGATCCCGATGTGTTTGTCATGTGTAATGCAATTCATTTACTGTAATGTCTGGAAAATCCACTGAAGGAGGGACTTGTGCATGTGTTTCCATTTCCTTTTGTGTGCGTAGGTGTGGGTATGACCATCGATGCGTACATCCATCTGTGTGTCTGCAGCGCGGGTGTGTCTCGACACAAATTGCTTTGACTTTATCAAGTTAACTTCTTTTGATGGAACACCAGCTGGCCCTGCCGTCTGCTTTTGGGCTGTCGTATAATCCACTGCAGTCAAGCTGTCCCAATTATCTGTCACTCAGCTTACCTGTCTTGTTGCCAGGGGACATACATTTACTATATTGCAGCTTCCAGTAGGAAAAGATAGAATCAGGCTTGTCAGGTCTTAATACCGTCACAGTACCTTCAAGCTTTAACTCTGTCTATTCCTTCTTCTCAAACTCCTTAAACGTATATCCGAGGATGCAGACTTCAGACAATGTGATATAGTTTATCCTGTCACTGGGTGTTTGTGGTGATTTTTGCAATATCTGTCCGAAGCTGAATACAGGAGAAGGTTGCCAATAACTAATAAATACCCAAAGAGATCTAATGATTCAAAAGACATTATATTTTATGTTGCAGCATAGTTGTCCTTCTCGTCAGCATGTTATTAACCCTCAGGTACTCCTGTAATGTTGTAATTCAAACTGACTGGTCAGGACCTTGTCACCACAAACTGAAGGTCCCCTTTGCCTCCTTTTGGGCGCCCAATGGCCTAAAAGTTCACATCAGCACTGGGTGACAGCATTAAAAGCAATGCAGATATTTCCGTACACTGGCACTCTTCCCTGAGGCACATCTCCTAGAATGGACAGGTTATACCCCACTAGAACAATTCAACTGTATTGCAGACCAAGAGAAAGCAGCAGGAAGACTCCTGTTCCTAGTCTAGTTGTTGGCAAAGTGGATAATGGCAGCACTCCCAACGTGTGGTAGATTAATGGCTTGTCAAACGAAACATCCGCAGGGCTGCCACGGCTATCTGAAGATGTGTTCTCTGTCTTATTTCCACTACTGGGTCTCCAGGGCTGCCCATGCAGCCAGCCACATGTCCCTTTTCTTATTAAGCTATAGTTTTAGAAGGAGGAAAGTGATCACAGAGCTGACTCCAGAAGTTTCAAATGAGAGAAAAGTAGTGCTAGATGTATCGAGGAGGGACATGTTTTCCTATAGGAGCCGTTGGATTTATGTGTTGCAAACCTCCCAGTTTGGGAAGGTTAATTTTAGTTGATCTTTCCTTGAAGTAAATCAGCTTTGAAGAAAACTCATTATCTACCTTCCCACACTGCACCTGTTAAAAGCCATTTAGTTTTTTTATGGTGTTGTCTTTACCATTAGTAATGATGCTCGGGGTCACTGATTGCACGACATCCAACTAATGTCACAGGTTCTTTAATGGCAACTGATCTCTGTGCTGTTCACCAAAGGATTCACTGTTTCCTTTCCCTTTTGTCTTCCCTCCTTTGTGTTTACTTTTCTTCTTGCCTCCCTTTGCTCTGTCTGGCTCGCTCCTTCACTTCCATCCTTATCTGCAGGTAACAGTATACTACATTCAGCTGCAGACAGCGTGACGAGTGCTGTACAGAAGGCCAGCCAGGCTCTGAATGAGCGTGGCGAGCGATTAGGTCGGGCTGAGGACAGGACCGCAGACATGATGAACAGTGCTGAACAGTTTGCTGTCACTGCACACAAGGTGAGGCAATATGTTAGCAAGATACATTACAATGCATAACCGCAAGGTGGATTTTCTGTATGTATTATACCTTAGCACATTGAAATTCTATCTTCCACTACCACCTCGTGTTCCAGTCGAATATCCAGTCGTGATTTTAAAGTCATTATTAGTTCAGCCAAAAGATGAAACATTTTTCTTAAAACCTGAGGATATTTGAAGACTTGGTTTATCGTGACTCCAGCCTCTTAGCAGTAGTGCTCTCTGCTCTGGGAAGATAATAGTTTTTCTTCTTCTTCCCTTCATTTGTTCTCTCTTTTGTAGTTCTCCATAGGGTGTTCTCTCATCCTCCATCAATCCCATGTCTCTTGTTTGTCAGGAAAAGTAACTGCCTGCTGTTTAATGAGCCCATTAGCATAATATGATTTTTTTTGCTGCAAAACCAAAGAAAAAACCTCCCTTGCTTTGTAATGAGCACACCTGGTTGTGATCATCGTAGCTGTCTTTCTAATAACACTCAAACACGTTGACTTTGAAGCTTGATTTCATGTGTGAAATCAGACAGCCCTGCTGGACTGTCATGCTGTTAAGGGACAGCCTTCGCAGACAGGCTTGTGCTCGCAGAAGCAGGATGTCATTGTCTTTAATAGTAAAGCCATCCACTACCTATTGAAATGACTGCTTTGAATGATGTATAAAGCCATACTAGTGATGGTGAGATAATTGAAAGACATTTGAAGAGTCTTGCATTGCCCTCTTACTGCTCACAGATGAGAATCCCCACTGTGATGAATTACAAAAACTGTGATAAGCAGAGAAAAAAGCCCACGGCTTTGGTGGATACAAGAGAAAATGACTGCATAACCCCTGCGAAGAATCACTCATTTACTGGTGTTTCTCATTTCACTTGATGCTATTCGCTTTTATGTTATCTGCTTCATAACTTGTCATTTGTCTTGCACATTATTATTAAAACTCATGCTGTTTTCTGTCTGAAGCCTTCTGGTAAAAGCAATAGGTAGCAGTAGAGGTGGATATAAAATAGATTCCATGCGGGGATGACTTTGAGAAGGACTTTACTTGACATATTTGAGTTTTCCTACTCTTAAATTCATCTGCATGTGTTACAAGTGGACCTCTGCACACAGTATAGTTTTAATTTATAACCAATCGCAGAACTACGCATCTGCAGCACTGTGAGCAGGTCACCTTGACATTCGTCTTCGTCCACTTCTGCAATCCCGTCTCTGCACCTCACTGTGTGGTGGCAGACACTTGTGCTGCACAGCTCAGTTTTAATCAAAACCACTCATTCCTGTGTGCTGCTCTACTGCCCCCACTTGACCGATGTGTAGAATTCACATCTCCTCATTCTGCAGCAATACACTCCATGCTCAATCTGTGGTCTGCTTGTGTGTGTGTGTGTGCATGTGTGTGTGTCTCCCAATCACGTCTCTAGACCCCGTGGCCTTGTCTTAGATTGGTGGCCCGGTCATCTCTTCAACCACTCCTCCCTCAAGCTCATTAGAACCCTTGTTAATGAGATAAACGAACTTGCAGAGAGCCTTGCCATTACCTGAATGAAAAATGACAGAGCCATTGGCTTGCCTAATAGCTTTTTGTTGTTTGTAGGAAAGCTCTGAAATGGTCAAATTTGTACCCTGTGTGTCCTTATTTTGTTTTCACTGTGTTTTATTCAACAGTCTGATACATCTGGTTGTTTGTAGTTGCCAAGCATTTTAATGTTTGTATAATTTATTGATCACCACTTTCTTGAGTTTTCTCACTGCTTATCCTGAAACCCCCTACCCCAATGTTTCTACAGCTTGCCATGAAGCACAAGTGTTAGACCACTGCCAAAACCAACTGGGCTGGGGGGGTTCCCACTATCGCCAGTCGCTGTACAGGAGAAGGATTCCAGATTTTATTCTTTTTAAAAATTTTAATATCATTAATATTTGTTAACAATGTTAACATTTTAATGTTTTGGGTTATTGTACTCTGGTGCATCTCGTTCCTAATGATGGTGACGCATCCAACAGATGGGAGGAAGAGAGATAAACAACGCTACTTCAGACTGTCAACAGAATGTTTCATGCTTCTGTTTGCCAAACAAGTAACAAGCCACAGCCATGACTGTACTTGATAATGATGGTCACTCAATATACTTTCCCTTTTCATATGCTCAGACGCTAATGTGAGTGTACACGAGCTGACAAGTCATTATCAGCAAACCCTCCTAGATGAGGAACAGTTTGTCTCACGTGGTATTAATTGTCGACCGGCAGTGATCCTGCAGTCTAATGCATGAGGGAAGGAGCCTCTTACGGGTTGTCACATGTGAGATTGGGTTGAGGTTACCAGATAAACATAAATATACCTAAAGATAGCCTAGATTTAATGTTTGATTTGTACTTAGACAAATATTTTGGCATCAAATTTGGTAGAGTGGAATCTCAGATGAACGGTAACTCTACCCGTGAATCTCGATAAATCCCAAAGTATACTTTTTTGATTGGTTTCCTTCTATGCTTTGACTTTTGGGCGTGGAACTGTTTTTGCTTGTTTTCTCTGCCCACAATTTCAAACTGTAAGACAGTATTAGTCAAGGTATTTTCAACATATCATTTCATAAACTGCCGAAGAGTCTGTAAAGAGTGGTTTCAGTGATCATATAAAATAAAAGCGGTGAAATGTTTCAGTCTTCTGTTAGACTTGTCTATCATTCAAAAACAACCAAAACTACATGGAATACAGTTGCCAACATTTTTTTGGAAGTGTACTTGAAGAATTTGTTTTAAGAATAAGCTTTTTAAGTATATTATTATTATTATGTATATTTTATGTTGAAGGGGAACAATTCAGTAAACCAGCTTCTGCACTGTAAAAAGCAACATGTAATTCTTCTAGTACTACTATCTTCATGTCTGTAGAGCGAATTTGTCCCTGAACATGGGATGTTTTAATATTAATCCTGGCTGTATTTCAACTTTAAACATTCAGTAGTCATATCTTGTGCTTTTTGTATAATTTGGGTTGGTCATTATAATGATGTGTATGCTGATAAAGGACTAAATGTCTCAAATAGCAGAAGCAGTGTGTGGTAGTTTTTTTGTTTTTTGCAGCTCTGCTCACACTGACTCCAACTTTGGCTTCTTCACTAGCAAGACACCACCCTCACACTTGAGAGATCTTTGATTCTTTTTATATTTTGAATTTTATAATTCGTGATGTTACGATGCACTGATAACCTTATCTCGCGGAGCACTGTTGAGTTCATAATGAAACGTTCCAGTTGCCTAACTCTTAGTGTGCTTTTATTCCTCTCTAACACTTTGGATGTTTATTGTTTCAATAATAAAAAAAAAAAGACAGAAAGATGAATTTATATTATTATCAGTGTCCTTTTTATAGCCGGCTTTAGCGATTCCATCAAACAATGGAATCAGAAGTTGTACATTTATTTTGTCATTGCTGCATTCCTGTACTTACATTAATGTTCCCTTTTCATAGACGATAAGCTGCCAAAAACTCAGTGTCTCAAGGGTCATTGTGTCATTTTCTGTGTCTGATGTGCTCAGTTTAACTTCATGCTTTAACAATGCTCTCATCTCACTGATCTCAACTCTCTGCTGTAAGATGTAAAATAAAGTCCAATTCACAATCACAATAAAATGGTTCCTTATTAGTGCCTTTTTATGTTTATGTCTGACCTCAGGCTGCACATCAAGTGTTAATATCGTCTCGCTTTATCTAGCAACCCAGGGTAAAAACTGCCTGTGTGGATCGAGGAAGAAGGTTTTTTTTTTTTTAGGTTACAACTGAGTGAACTACTCGGCACTGTGTTAATGCTACAGAAGAACATTCCTGTATGCAGAAGTCATGGTGTGTTGAGTTAACATGGTGAGGGTCATTCTTGGTCAAATTTTGCACATTTGTGACTAATTGTACATTTTGAATTTCAGCTGTTTCTGATGATTTTGTATCTTAAAATGGGTCAATATTGTCTGCATGCTAACAGTTGCGCTCTTGTTTCAGCAGGTTTAATTTCAGTTACTAGTTCTACAACGTGTGTGTATTTACATTATTTATTGTAGACGAAGGAAGTATTTTAGTAAGCAGGGATATTACAATTTTGGTATTTGAGTATAAAAAGTAATAAACATCATATTTCTTCATGTTGTGCAAATTGTTTCCCCGGTACTGCTGATGTTACTTCTATAAATGAATAATGGTGATGTTTCTTCCATAAAAGACTACGTTATGGAATTCATTGTTGCCAATATGTTTCTTTTCTACTCCACTGACAAAAAAACCTCTAGACTGCAATGCACAATTTAGTTTCACTGCAATCACATGTAGGGTGTGAGTGCTTTGCATGAACTTGCTTTGTTTCACCTGCAGGGGGCGATGTGAGCCTCATCCTGACAGCTCACTATGGACATGGCTAAAGCTTTATTGTGTGTGTATGTGTGCAGCAGGTCTACTACACTCTTGGCTTAGTTGTAGTAAAGACTGCCCTCATGTGGATAGTTTTTAAGACACAATCTGCTCCAGATATCAAACCAAGTCACACCCCAAAAATTACAGAAATGATTTGGAACTTAAAAATTTAGCAACAGGAGGCAAACATGCTTATACGACCAACTGTGCTTTGTTTCACTCAGATTTATTATGTAAAAAATGTGATAACTTTGGTCGAGCATGTCCTAACTTTGTGATTCAGGCTTTCTGTCCAGAATGCCTAGTCTACAAACAAAACCTGTGATCACCCCGTTGAAACAGTGCATATGAAAAATATTTACCCCACTTGGAAGTTTTCCAATTTTATTTCCTTTCAACATTGAATCATCAACTTTTGTAAAACTTTTTCATGGCAAAGTGAAAACCGATTTCTACAAAGTGGTGTAAATTACTTAGAAGTAAGGGATTGTCTACCTGTTCACCTCCTTTAAAGTGACTTTTCTATTTCAAGAGATACAGCCAGTTGGTGCTACAACTCAAACAATTAAGGAAATGGAGATGTTCTTATTGCAGGGAATATGTCTAAAGTGATTGCAGTATAAGGACATCTGTATCTGGAGGATCCGTACCTCTGGCTATAACTACACCATGAAGACAAAAAATGCTCGAGGCAACTCCATTAAAAGGTCATTTCAAATTGTAAGTTTGGAGTACAGTTAAATCCGTCATTATGAAATGGAAGGAATAAGGCACATATGTACATCTGCTTAGAGAGGGCCATCCTCAGAAACTTGAGTGACTTGGGAAAGAAAATTATTCAGAAAGAGTTACAAGCTTCAGCTGCTGAGATGGAAGTGACTGTGCATCCAACAAGTGTTGTCTAGTCCAGTCAAAGCTTTATAGGAGAGTGGCAAAGAAATTTAAAATCTTACATCTCGACCACTGTTCTTCAGAAGGCATGTGGGAGACTCTGAAGTGAACTGGAAGACGGTTCTTTGATCTGATAAGACCACTGTACATCATCACAAACACATGGTCCCCGCTGTGAGGCATGGTGGTGGCAGCATCATGATGTGCTCATCAACAGCAGGCCCTGGAATTCCTGGAAAGGAAGAGGGTAAAATGAATGCAGTCAGGTAAAGGGAATCCTTTGGAGAACCTTTTGTAGTCTGCAAAAGAACTGCAACTTGTTATATTTGTTTTCTAGCAAGACGATGACTCAAAGCATTCACTTAAAGTTACACAGAATTACTCGAATAGTTTAAAGAAAACAAGAGGAACGTTCTGGAGCGGCTGAGTCCGAGCCCAGACCTTAGTCCAGTTGAGAATCTGTGGCTGGACTTGAAAAGGGCTGTTCAGTCACAATCCCTGTGTAACCTGACAGAGCTTGAACAGTTTTGCAAAGAAGAACGAGCTACAGTTGTAACGTCCAAAAGTGCAAAGCTGATTGAGACCAATCCACACAGGCTCAATGCTGTAACTGCAGCCAAAGGTGCATCTACTAAATACTGACTTGAAGGGAGTCAATACTTCTGCAATCACTGTTTTCACTTTGATGTGAAACTCATTTAGTCAATTGTTGTCCAAACAGCAGAATCACACTGACCACGTTTCAAAAGCAAGGAGAAAAAAAAGGGGGAGATTTCCAAGGCATGTGAATACTTTTTATAGGCACTGTGTCACAAGGATTCTTCGCTTTGCAAAGCTCCTAAACATCATGCATCTCTTCTTACAGGCTGAGAAAAAACTCGGCATGACTACTAAAAGTTAAATTGTAAGAGAAGACTAATTCTGATGAGTCTGCAACCACAATGCAGCTTTTGAACAATGTTTTTGAATTTAGATGAAGTCTAGATTCAGAGCTCTTGTCATGGTAATAATGGCTGGCATCAGTAAGAAAAGGTTAATTGTTAACATTTTAAACCTGAAGCAGGTTCATGCAGTTGGCAGAGATGGAATTTTTGTTTAATTACATTTTTGTAGATGGTGAGAATGTTGACTTCTGATACGAACAGTTCTATTTAAAATCACATGTAGTACAGGAGTAAAGCTGTATCTTATAATTGTATTTGTAAAGCTTTGAACCCATTCACTGTTTTCACAGAATGAAGGGAGAAATCGACGAGCCAAATCACTAGTAAAGAGGTCTGAACATATAGCAGGGTCAAGTGAGCAGAAAAGAGTCTTATCAAAACATCTGTGTTACCTTCCGCCTCCTTGTCTCTGCTTAATAGTATTTTAATCTTCCAATTAATGATCCAGATCAGTCTGACAAGCAGAAGGGCAGTTAGTGCAGTAGCAGTGCTGAAATACATGATCTATAGCTTTTAGTGCCAGAGAGGGGGAAGTAAGCACCTCATTAAAGCCCCTGTGCAGGTTTCTGCTGCCATTACTCACTCTGCCAACTGCTGTGAATCATCCCTGGCTGCATCTTAAAGCCCACCTATAATTGTTCAGCTCTTCTCTCTCTTTTCCTCTCAGCTCCGGAAACGTTGAGGCATTGTCTACTTTTGACCTCGAATTCGGGACACGTTTTCTCTCTTATGTCACAGAACCTCTGAGACGTCTTATCACTGGAATAAATTCAACACCTTTTACAAAACATCCAGACCCCTGCATGTTTTGCACACTTTGTATGTTGGTTAAATTCTAGAAAACTGTCTTTTTGCTTATTTTCAGTGTTTGGCAAATATAATAAAACACACAAACTGACAGGATCTAATATTTTGTGAACCCACTGTACATTTTTTTATGTACATGTAGCACAGTTAAATTGCAGCTGTACACCACTGAGGGGTGCACGAGTCCTGCAAAAAAAAAAAAAAAGACTCATCAGCTCTGTCAGTTATTGCCCAGTCGTGTATTGATTACTGTTTTTTAGTGTGTAATGTCAGTTAAATGTGTGCATTGATCCCTTGTGGGATCGAAAGCGTAAATTAAGGTCTGATTGAGAACTGTTCAATATCAGTAACCGCTACAGTTAATGACGCAGCGGGGCAAGTGGGCAGTTAAGCCATCAAACATTTTCTCCCCCTGCAGACGGATCTCAGCTCGTACCAGCAAGAAGCTTCAGACTAACTGCATTATGAATTTTTTTCCCCTTCTAAATTATACTAAAACTACCTTGTTATCACAGAAATATGTCAGTGTTGTCTTAATATATGGCTTTGTATGAGAGTCAAGGGTTGTATGTTATAATTGTATTTATTAGTTCAAAATGTCAGACATACAATTTCTAATAATGAAAGTGTACCTTTTAATAGTTCAAGGAAATATAAAAATAGCACATTTAAAATTCTGTTAAAAAGTGCAGAAGTATTTACAGCAACATGAACGATCTATGTTAGAGATGTAAATAGTTATTATATGAGTGAGTGGCCTGTTTTGTTGTAAACATATGTCATGTTTTTGAGCAGTTATCTGAAGTACAGTATTGTATAAATAATTGAATTACATAGGTTACCGGGTTGTTAAACTATGATCTATATTTTATTGATCATCTTTTTTCTACCTGTTTTTTTTTTTGTCTTACTCTGCAAGAAAACCGGCAACTGTGAGATAAATACAGAAGTTAAAAAAAGGGGGGATTTACTCGAGTAAAGAAACTTTTAATGTGGACTCATCACTCTGCATTTGCATTTTTACATGCAGGGGGACCACTGGTGTGCATGACTTACTGTCCAAACTTATTTCTCGAGTGATCCTAACGCAGCATTTGCCCGGTCAGGTGTCACCTTGAGAGGTGCATTGACATTCCTGTCAGCCGGGGAGTTGGTGTCATTTCAGCAGAGGCTCGGTGGCAGCCTGACTGTTTAACTGGCTGGCCAACTGGCCTCAGGGCAACTCCTTTTTTAATCTGCCAACCTCCCCAAAGCTCCACTGGAGTAATTACAAGTTACACCCAGGGGTTAGAAGGACGAATGAATTGGGACTGCACCTCTATTTCTCATTATCACATACAAATCTCTGCAATGATTCCTGAGTGCTCCTATTAGTCAGGACTGGAGTTTTACCTCAAAGTAAAAGGGCAATAACTGCAGCAGTGTCCCTGAGGTATTCAGGAAAGTGGGATCCAGAGAAATGTGTCTGGACAGGAGGTGTACACTTCACTGCCCCAAAAGAAAGTTCTACAAAACTTTTACATTGTGTTCGTGAGTTAATCTATGTATTTAAAAAAATAGTAGGAGCTCATTGAACTATAGCTTCACTTATTTTGCAGCTACATAAGATTAGCTGAATTTCCTTGGAAACATCTATAATAATAGATTTCTTTTTGTCAGTATCTGCAGAAACAAAGGGCAGAGTTATATATATACCAGTAAAGTAGACCAAAATTGATGATACTAATTTCAAAATTATAATTTAGAACTATAAGTATTAAATCTACTTTTTTCTCATACCATAAATCAGTAATCTAGCTTCGGATAAAAGGTAAGACTTTATATTTAAGTGTTTTTAATTGAATGTTTAAACTGTGAATCCCCCAAACTGTACATTTTCAAAGGCACACAGGTATTTTTGGTGTGATAGAGCAGTTGGTGCACAAGGTGCCAACTACAAAACTCCTCCTTGGACATTTAGTTTCAACAGTTTCCAGTGCATACATTACAATATGTATTGTACCAACACCAATTAACCAGCACAGTCTGAAGCAAAGCTCGTGAGCTGAGACACTCCACAGTGTTGTGCTACATTCAATGGCCATAGTTTTGTATCAGCTAATAACCTCAAATGCACTGTAGTCGGATTGTGAACACAGCAAGTCATGCCCCGGTGTAGATACTTACAGTTAATTTATGCAGATA